GTTCCGCGACACTTGTTCGGCAACGGTGGCTAACTAAACGGCCCTGCCGCTTCTGAGGCCCACCAAGGTCCTGCTCCCGCCCGACGGAATCCGATTGAGCTTCGGTCGGGCATGTCCCCCTGCAGGGGGGCTCACTTGGACTAGTTTTCGGATATTCCTCCTGTAGGCGGCCATGCCCGCCTTCGCTCTGTGGGGCGGTGCCGCTCTCAAGGGGGGGGGGGGCGACGGCCTGCCTCCGCCGGGCTGCGGATGCGGGGCGGGGGCAGCAGGGGGGCGCAGGGGCGGCCCCACGGGTGCGCGGACGGCGGGGTGTGGCTTCCGGGCTGTAGCTCGCGCCTCCGGCCCGCGAACCTCCGTCGTACACACTCCCAGCGGTGGCACGGGTCGAGGGCGGCTCCTCTTCCAAAACTCTGCCGACCCCGTCGGCGCGTGCGAGGGAGAGAGCTCTCTTTGGCAGGTCGACCCGGGGCTGGTCCTGGGGTGTGGGTCGCAGTCTTCCCCTGGCGGCCACCCGTGGCACTCCGAGGTCGCCGACCCAGGTAGGGAAACGCACTCTATTAGTGGGAAAACAAACCTACCTCGCTTTTGACCACCCTCGCTTCCGAAAGATACCAAACGATGCCGAATTGCAGCCTGTACTGGTCAGGCCGCTTGATGAGGAGGCGCGTGGTATGGCTCGGTTTTGCCTGGAAGCGAAAGCGGGGTAGGTAATTCAGGCTCTGATCTATACACCGACGCTTTTCCCGACCCTGCACGGAAATTCGCCCAGGAACGCGGATTCTGGTGTATGCGGGATCCTGGTGTATACATTGTTCGTTGTTTCCCTTGGAAAACGGGGGAGAAGCATACACCACACCACCCCGACGTCGTCCCCGACCCTCCCAAAAGTCGTGGGATTGAGACAAAACCCGCCACTGGTAATGTATATGTTCCAGTTTCCGGCCCAAGGTCAATCGAACCCCCTTCCCATCCCATCTTGACTATCCAAGCTCGCCAACTCGAGGTGAATAGATAAAGGGACCCCCCTGCACTTTGACTCTCCCCCCGCCAGGGCGGGGGGTCCCAGCGGAGGGTCCCGGGGTGTGTGCGAGGCCCCCAAGATCGACCAGCGACAGCGCAAGCGGCCTCTATACGAGAGCGCAGAGACGGCCCAAGAGAGCCCAAGACCGTTCAAGGGGCTCACAAGGCAGCCCGAGAGGGTTCCCAAGGGGGGGAGCACGAGCCCGACGAGCCGAGACCGCCAGCAGGCCCCCAAGCCGGAGGGTTCCAAACAATGTTTTCGGGGACCGGGGTTTCCAGAGAGCCCACCATAGGGGCCTCGGAACCTCGTCGAAACAGGGGGCTCGAAGCCCCTGCATGGGGGACCCCTCCTGAAAACCCCTTCCCCAAAAACCTCCTTTGGAACCCTCCGGCCAACAGGCCCCCAATAGTGCGGGACGGGAAAATGACCACAGCCACTGCTTCTTGTTTGCGCCGCCTTCCAGCTGGCCGAAAAAGAAGCAGTGGTTGTGGTCATTTCCCGGGTGCCACGCTCAACGAAAATGACCACAACCGCTGCTCTGTTTCTGCGGGCTGGAAAGCGGCAACAAAAGAAAAGCAGTGGCTGTGGTCGTCTTCACGCCCCGTAAATAGGCCCCCACGGGGCCCCCGGGGAGGAGGAGGAGACGGAGGAGGAGGAGGAGGAGGAGGAGGAGGAGGAGGAGGAGGAGGAGGAGGAGGAGGAGGGAGGCCCCCCGGGGAGCCCCCCCGGGAGGCCTCCGGGCGGCCCCCCCAAAAGGCCCCGCGCGCGGGGTGCAGAACGGGAGGCCTGCTCTGCGCACCGCGCGGGAGACGGCGGCGTGGCGGGGCGGCGGGCCAGCAGGGCGGCGGGCCGTGCAGGGCGCCCCGTCTCCGCTCCCATCTCGAGGTGCCCTTTTTGCAAGCCCTTCTGGGAGACAGCCAAGCCAGGGATAGATGAAGGGGCCCCAGGACACACAAATAAATACACACAAGTAAAATGATTTCCCATATTTTCCCATATGTTCTGGGTTGCTGTTTCCCCCCCACTTCCCATATTTTCCCATATTTTCTGGGATTCGACGATTAATTGTGTCTGTGAGTTTTTTTCCCCTCCTGAGTTCTGGGAGACAGCCAAGCCAGGGATAGAATACGCCGAATCCCTTCTTGGTCGACCCGCGCCTAAAAAACCAGACCCCCCGCCAAATGCGACCGTATTCCGGACCCCCTTCGTCGACGGGGCAGCTTAAGAAATCGGGCCCCCTAAGCTCCGATCCAAATTGCGCCCCAATAAACCGGACCCTCCTCAGTTTCCAAGAAGGCGCCCCCAAAAAACTGACGGGAGACGATTAATAAGAGATTTGGAGTAGACGAGCGCGCTCCACTACTCGCAGAGCAACTACTCGCACATGGCCTGGATCCGCCGCAGGGGATCTACAATAGTGCTCATTCAAGCAAGCACATGTCTTTGTTCGGATCTTTGCGAGTAGTGGAACGCGCTTGGAGATAAAAAAAAAGCATCCTTCCATCAACCAGACGTAGGAGTGGCCCTGGGTAAAGAGTGCCCTTTGGTGCGCGGCTCTTGGGGGGCGCGGAGGGTCCGAGCCCTAGCGCGCAGGCCGCTGCCATCGCAACGCGCTCAGCGATCGGGGGGGCCCCGATGAGCCCGCACCAGAGGTCACTCCGGCAAAGGATCACTCTCACACGTAGCCGGTTCAAGAACATGAGGCCCTCCGCCGGCCAAAACACACAGAGCATCCACGGGCATCCTCCCCAGGCATGCACAAGAACACCCAACGCACACACGGAGAACTTCGAGGCGCCTCCCCCGAGCCCACCCCGATCTTGCACCTCGGTCCGACCATAGTCGTCGGCGTGGCGGAGGCGTGGAATCGGGGACAAGGAGGAGGAGGAGGAGGAGGAGGAGGAGGAGGAGGAGGAGGAGGAGGAGGAGGAGGAGGAGGGGGCATTTTGGCTCAAGTCCGCAGCGGTGGCTCAGCCCTCTTGAAGGCATCTTGGCCCGTCTTGGGTTGGTCTCAGGGGCCTCTTAGGCCCACCGTCGGCCGCCGACGAACCCTCCAGGGAACTCTCGATCGAGGTCGCTGCCATCCTGACGGCCCGAGGCCTTGGGCAGCGCACAGCGGCAGCCAGAGGCCGGAGAGGGCGGCCCCGCTGCGGTGCGGGGCCCTCGCTGGAGAGCTCCCCGCCATGGGCGTCGTGGCCGGACGGCTTCGGGAAGCAGGTGTGCGGATGTTTGTCTGAGGGCGCCCTGCGCTTCACAAGCACGGGGGCCCCTCGCTGGGCGCGCCCCTGGACCCTTCTGCTCCGGGCTGGACCTCGGCGTCGTTCGTTTCGTGCTCGTCTTGGTGCTCGTTCTGCTCTGCCTGCCTTCCCGTACCTCCCTGCCGCAACGAGAAGCAATCAGAACCCAGCCGAAGTCCAGCAGAACAGCGTTTAGGTCCAGACCTGCTTTTGATCCCGATTACCTTGCCGCCGTCCTGATGGCTGGACGCCTGGATGGCTGCCCCTCTTCCAAGTCGGGGCTCCCCCCCGAACTGCGCACTTGCAGCAAGGACGACGGGGCGCTCTCGCCTTTCATTTGGGGGGCACTTTCCGCGGTGAAGATGGTGTACCGTCGAAACGCTGTCACAAGGAGAACCCAAACCAAGGAGCGAGTCCCTTTTGTTCATGGGTTAACCTTCGACCTCCCATAGAAAGCCTGAGGGCAACCCAAGGGAAAACAACCAAAGCATTAAGGAACTCTGAGCCCCTCCCCAACGAGAAAGGTGCCTTCATCAGCGGCCCGACTGTATCGTGGACTTGAGAAAGGGGGGGCGCACTGGAGCATTCGGTGCTCACTGAGCTCAGTCTGGGGACACTGCTGGAGCGAATCGCTCAACTCGTGCATCGATACTGCGTCCCACGTCCTTCGACTTGAGTCAAACGTAAGTCGAATGCTAGTCGACCCTGAGTCGATCGAGCGTCAAACTAGAGCCAAACTAGAGGCAAACTGCAGTCGAACGGATCCGCCAGGTGGGCCGCAGGAAGGTTCCCCACCCCCGAGAAGCATTGACGCAGCCTCTTTGATGTATCGGGGAGGCGTAAGACCCGGTTACGGGGGACTCGGAAATCCCCGACGAGGTCGTCAAAAAAAGGACGAGGCCGAGCCTGCATTTTGACGAGGCCTCCCGCTGCAGACATCCAACGAAACTCCTCCTCGTCAAAATCCGAGGCGCGGTCGTCAAAAAACGATGGCGAACCCGAGTCCTGGCAAACCTGGGTCTTACGCTCCCCCGAATGTACCGTTAACTCTGGCCACCTTCCTCCGCGTTCTCCTCCTTTCTCATTCTCACCCCGTCCGCTGCCCCTCTGCGCTCGCCGTGCAGGGCCCGCGCAGTCGAGCCCCCGCTCTCGCTCCTCGTCCTCACCCTACACCCCCCCCTCCTCCTCGCCCTCCTCCTCCTCGCCCTCCTCCTCCTCCTCCTCGAGCCCTCGCCTCCTCCTCCTTGCCCTCCTCCTCCTCCTCCTCCTCCTCCTCCTCCTCCTCCTCCTCCTCCTCCTCACCATCATGCTCCTCCTCCCGCCCCTGCTGCTTCCCTTGGGCCGGCCATGTCGCCCTAGAGGCGGATCTTGGGCGAAGAATGAAAAGCAGGCAGAACAATGCGCAAACAAACATCACAAATAGTCGAAACATCGTCCCCAGACTATTCTTTGACCATTTGCGAATATTCCACCTGTAGAGGGACAGGCCCGACTCAATGCTTCCCTCGGTGGATCTCTCCTGGGGATCTCGAGGCACGAGCAGGCGAGGCGGGGATTTACCCATGTCCACCGCCTGGGGACCGACGTCCTGGTGCCCCAGCGGGCGGTGGATATATGGATCTATTTCGGCTCCCGGGGGCCCGAAGATGTCCAGATCCACCGCCTGCCTGCGCTCCGAAAACGGACCCTCCAGGCGGTCGGTGGTCATGTATCACTTCCCGCCTCGGCGAGCAGGCCGGAGCTCTCCGGATGCGTCTTCGACAT